TCACAAAAAAAGATATGTAAAACTTCGTTGAAATGTAGTTTTCATTTTTGTACCTATTTGTTACTTATTCATTCATACTTATTTATTCACATTATTACTTATTTAATGCAGATATAGTCCAAAATGTTGACCTCTTGCAGCAATGCACGCATTGCATCTTATGAACAGCTCGTATTACCAAACATTGATATATATATATATATTACGTTGATTATATATATATATATAATCAACGTAATGACTCGCTGATCCGGCATTCTTTTACTTGGAAATCGGTGTGCATACTTTCGTACTGCCTCTGAAGCATTATCGCTGAAATCGTACACGAAAACAATAATATTCTGTTTCGAAAACAATAATCTGAAATAATATATAATAAAGGCCTATTGTGCCGGTCGAAGATCTTTAATTGCTTCTTTTTAAATAATTCAAATTGTGAATTATCTATATACGTGAGTTCTACACGTCGGTCCTATGAGATTTAAATTTGAATAATCTGAAAATTACGATTTGTCTTTTTTGCGATTTTCTTCAAAACGAAGCAAAAACAAGCATATTTTTAAAGAACTATTTTCTTAGTTTATTGATTTTTTATCGCTCTTGAAGTTTGGCCATTTAAATTTGAGACACCCTGTATATAAAAATAATGAGATATTCGATTATACTTACAATTATAGTGTGATTCGGATATCGTGCTCTTACTTTTCTCACATACTCTACGAAATGCTGTGTATATCCGTTTGCAACATCTAAACATATGAATGATAATTCCGGCACAACTTCCAAAATGCTTGAAAGCCGTTCGTAATCTTCATTTGCTGTCCCTGAACTTGCTGCTATATTCTTTGCGCAATCAGGATTTAACGCGATAAAGTCTTTCCATTCATCTGCGGTATAATATTTATGAACCGTAGTAAAAAGACCATGCTAAAAAGAATGTGCACAATAAGTAGGACGACGCATTATACATATTCAAATAATTTTATTTGCATGATCTCATGAATATATTAATAATGTTACATATACAAGTTTTTAATTTATATTTATTTAACGTATGTAGATATATGTATGCAGATATACGTGTAGGTAGAATTTATTGAAAAGTTTTAAAATTTAAATCCGGTAAAAAATTTTTCAATTTATTCCTAAATGTATTGTAAAATTATCTTACCTTTGAAAGAGCTTTTGCCATTTCAAACGTTCCAATCGTGTCCATATTAGAAGCCATCACGGGAATTCCTCTGTATGTTTGTTTAGAATTGCGAAATGTGATTTCTCTGAAAAGGTCTACCTGAAATAACAGTTGAAGGATCAGAGAGATTTTTATTTAAAAAATAAATTTATTTTTAACAATACAAAGACTTTAGAAACAAGATATTTAGGTATTAAAGGAAAGGACAGCATATTTAACTCACATACACACAATATATATAAGTGCGCGCGTGTGTTGTGTGAACATAATATATTTATATTTATATAATTTTATATATAAATTTTATATATGATATTTATATATAAAAAATTCTTATAAAATTACTAATTTTATGCAGAAAAAAAATATATATAATTTTATGTATAACTTTAATAGCTTTGCACACACATATACAAAAATATATAAAAACAACACATGATTTTTTAAATACTGGCATAGGACAGAAATATGTGTATCAAATAAATAAAATTAAAAGATTTAATATAACATAATATATGCAAATATCATTATATTAATAATCTCATTATAACGAAAAGTTAAAAAAATACAACAATTTTTGTTAATCTTCAATTTATGTTAATTTGCTCATATAAAAAATATGCAGGATGTAGGATCGTCGCGCTCGGTCGACATAAATTTAAACAATGAAATCAATCCGGAGTATAGGAAGTAGCGTATTAGCGAGAATAAAATCAATAGAGAAAGTTTACGACTGAGGGACCATAAATTTGGGAGCTTTGACTCAGAGCGATCGTGCGAACGTTAATTTTGCAGGACGCATAATTGAGTCGACTCAACCGACGACCTACGGCAGCCCGTAATTTATACACGCGCGCACGCACGTACACGCGTGCAATTCGAACGATCGAATTTAAAATCAAACATATTCGTTTCCGAAAATATACTCGGCAAATATATACGACTCACGACATTGCGCAATGAATAACGTCGCATTTTTTTTTTCTTTTCCTTCTCTCTCTTCTTTCGCTGAAGACGCGTGCATTATTCTTGACGCGACACGGAGAACGCGATTCCGACTTGTATATCAATTATATAAAGACGGCAATACTTACGTCCGATCGGCTTTTCAACGTGCTCCGCTTCGGGCGCAGCAGCACGTCTTTAAAGTCCAACTTTATGTCATTTATTATGTTCGGCATCGCGGCGGTGCGGAATCACCCTCGGCGGTCTTTATACTTTTAGCAGAAGAGTATTCGACCTCGCTCACTGGTTGCCACGTACCGAGAACACTGGACTGGGGAGAACAGAGAACCCGTGACCGCGGACGTTCTTCCACTGGCTGGTACACCCAGGCATGGCACATTTGATACGCCGTTCGTGCGAGAAAGACAGAGAGCTATTTTTGTCCCTCTCTGTCCCCCCCTTATCGAACCAGGGCGGTGCGGTCTACGGGCGCTCTGAGGGTCGTGATTACTTATTCTACAATATACTCAGAGGATGTGTTGAGAAAATGAGTGTTAAAAAATCAACTATCGCCGGACGTCCGCTTCTCCAAATTTATTGGAGGCTGATAGCACAATTTTTCTGAAATATCTAAAAATTTAGTTAGATAGTTCTGAAAATAAATTTGTTGGATCATCAAAATATCGTAAAAATCTCAAGCTTGATGAGGAATGCTGGGAAAAGTTTTGGCATTCTAGCAACCAGTTTGAGCGTAACATAAGTATTTTGATAAACCAACAGAATTATTTTCAGATTTATATCTAGCTAAATTTTTAGTTACTTTCCGTGTAATGGAAATAATTCATCACAAAGGAATGTAGCTGTGCCTCAAAAAATGCACGACACGAAACATTAATTATGCGTTAATTCCGAGCATTTCCGGCGAGGTTTATGAATCACCGTTTTTCATTACGATTTCTATCGAGTTGCTACTTTGTGGAAATCGCGATGCAGCTGCAAGGTCAGCATTCAATCCGGATTTTTATCACTCTGGACGCCAGCCGATGGTCGCATTGCGCAAAATCCTGATCTTTGCGATGGTTCGAAAGATCGTAAAGCCGTCCCTGGGGACATACATGTGTGTGTATGCACGTTTAATGTATACTAATACCGCAGATAACTTATCAGAAGGTCTAGACAACACATAATTGAGCAGTAATGAATCTTTAAGTGAAGTGTTTACTTAAGTGATCATTTTTCAAAATGCTTGATTACGTTAGCATTGAACTTTAATTTTACATTGTCGTTAAAGTTTCACAAAATTTTATTTCGTATTCTATACACCATATAAGAATTAAAATATTAAAAATTCAAATTATATATATATATATATATATATCTTTTATTCGATAAAACTGCGAAATATATATTGGCAAAACTTTCTCAAATCTATCAAAAATTATTTAAACCAGTAAACATCAATTAATGATAAAAACATAGCAATTATTATGTATAATAATTTCATACTCAATAAAACAGATAAACAATGTATTTATTTATCTGAAAGCCCTATCTCTTAATATTGTATTAAACGATGTTACATACAACATGTGTTGTATTACATTTATATTGTGAAATGCGAAATTATAACATTGCTGTTATGTTACTATTAGTTGGTGTTTACTGGGAAATTCTGAATTCTCCGAATTAATTTACTAAATTATATAATTCAACAATTTTTCGTGCATATCACATATCTATGCCATTGTTATTGGATATATTAATTGTACCAATATAAGAACAATGTTAATGTTTATTAAAATAATAAAATATCAAAGTCTTTTAAAATTCAAAGTCTTTTAAAATTCAAAGAGATGGACGGTTCCATTTTATATTGTAATCAATAGTTAACTTTGTATCAATCAAGGATAATAGATTCAAACTGAAGCGATATAGAGAGTTCCTTACGAATATTTTTAAAAAAGTCCAAAGTGTGAATTGTATTAAAGTGCAACATATTTAATTTAAAGAGTCACATGTATTTTAAGACAGTTTTGGCCGCAAAAGTATTTTAGTATATATTATGTTATTTAAAAATATGATATTATACAAACAGAAGGAAAATAATATAAAATTATTTTGTTATATATGTAAAAAATCAATCTGTATGCTAGAAATAAGTATAATATCTACGTAAGTTTGTCGTGTAAAATACATAATAGATAAATTTATGTTAATTAATTTATCAATTGAGAATTCTTCGTTTATAGGTCAAAGGATTAGAGATTGTTATGATATGATAACAAAATGATATTGTATTTTCATCAAATTTTCTTATATTTAATTCTGCAATGTTCTTTTCTAATTTTGTAACGTTATACATAATTTACGAATCAGTGGTACAAGAAAAAAAGGATATAGTTAGATTATTTTTACATATTTGTTACCTGTGTATATAATCAATTTTACATATATCTTTTATAATGTATAAATTTTTTTCTGATTCCATGCGCATTCATTCACAAAGATTGTATGTGTATATATATATATAATATACATACATATATATATGAACACATACTGAATTCACATTACTCTTTTCTAGATCTACAATATACACAGTAATGATCAATGTATTAAAGTTTAAACAAATGGCACTATACTATAATGGAATGGCTTAGTTTGAAATACATTAATTTAACTACCGCACATAATTTTATGGAAATCGGAAATTGATGAGATCAGAATCAAACTAGATGTAACGTAGCCAGACTTTAACAATCGTACTGCATTAATAAAATTGTAGCTTTAAAAACTCAACAAACTGAATCTATTTTTTTTTAAATTAAAAGACAGTATGTTCAAAAAATTCTTATGATGCCACTCATGTACATTAAGTACAAAACTTTCATATAGCGAATTCTACATGCTAAAATGAAACATTTGATGTTTTAATATATAGCTTATAACGCATGCAATTTTTGTTAAAGATAGCAGTACTTAGAAGGCACTGAAAATAAAGATTGATGAGACTTCAATTTGTCGGCAGTTACGCGGGGCAGTGTAACGAAAGAGAAGTTTATTGTTTACATATTTTTGAATTCACCAGAACCGTTAGCGTTGAGCATAAGTATGTTAGGGTTTTCCTTCTCGAAGGCAGTCGCGTCTCTACCTCCGGGTCTTTCTTCCTGTCCCCATTCTCCTAGAGTTCCATGCATCACGTCCGGCTGTTCCTTCAGTTTTTGCTCCTCCTTCTATGAGATTACTAACGGTTTATGGTCAAACGCAAACACATTGACAAATTGTTTTTCAAAATTTTTAAGATTTATTTGATTTAAATTAATCAGCCTTTATATCATTTATAATATTTATGACAAATGCAGAGTCTATGGACATTTTTACCAATATTGAAACATGGGTAATAATTGATATCCAAATATATTTATTATACATTGCAGAGATAATTTTCGTTTTAAATAGCTAAACGTTTATAATAAATTTTGTGATTAATACTAATTGATACGAAAATTCGGCACATGAAAAAGATCATATATCGATTAAAACGTTATTCAACATTATTGTTTTTCACAAACCTGTTTATCTTCCTGTGCAAACTTGTCGAACATGTTCGCATAAAGTTTCTTCTCTTTAGTTAATTGCTGTTTAATAAGAGAATTACAGATTAAAATTTGTTTAGATGCAGCCGTATTTTTCGGCTGTACTTTTAGAACCTTCCTGAAATCATTAAGAGCCTTTTCAGGCCATGTGAGCCCAAGATTTGCTTGTCCTCTTCTGAACAGAGCCTTTTCATTCTGCGGATCCAGTTGTAAAACTTTAGTACACTCATCTCTAGCCAAAACATTTTCATTAGTTTTCAGGTAACATAGAGCAAGGTTTAAGTGAGCCGCTTTTACGAGACTATCTCTCTCCTTTTTGAGATTATCCTCGAAACTTGATGCATCATCTAAGTACTTGAAAATTTTCTGGTACACTTTAATGGCTAAATTGAATTTATCAGATTTCAAGTAATTCGTTCCTTTTTCTTTCTGCATCTTTGCTTGTTCTATTTTTTCCGGTGATTTCAGTGTCCATAAAACTTTCTCCTGTTAAATAATATTTAGTAATTAAGAAAGTTACAAAATTAGAAATAAACATTCAGCTCCAATAATCACAATTACCTTCTCGAAGTTTTGTAATTCCACTTCATATTCTACGTCTGCATTCGGTGGAATATTAAATTTCGGATTTCCTTGTTCCTTAAATGCATATTTGCTTTTAATTAGCAGTCTAGATTTCTCATTCTTCAAGAAGTGCTGCAGTGCTATTTCTACACCGTCTATAATTCCTACAACTTCTCCTTCTCCAAGAACAAATTCTATATCTCTATCTTCAAACACTTGATCATTGTACTTTCCAGTCAAGTGTACTAAAGATATATACACAAAGAATTTATTAGATAAAGAATACATGGTATATCATACTTTAAACTGCTAGATCGTGATACTAACTTTTTACAGTACTACCTTCGTCTGGATGAGCATAGTTTTCGCCGACAACAATTTGGAATCTCTCAATACCTTTATCTTTATTCGGAGCTAGCTCTTCTCCGGTCCAATCAAGCACTTCAAGCTAGAAAAACATTAGAGTATGTTACATATTAGAATATGATTGATAAGTTTTCTGCTTAATTATTAATATGTATACATATAGATTTTATTAAATATTTACATACAATATGTATATTAAAATATTTCTAATTTATATACAGATAATCATATTAAAGAATCTTGCAACAATTGTACAAAACTGTTTTTTCTTAACACATAATTAATACATTATGTAAAACGTTCCAGAATCCTAGTTTATTTTAACAGCAGGAGTATCAAACGATTATAATTGATTGTTTCTATTTTTTAAGGTAATATTATATTTTTTGTGTAAAAGATATTTAAAATTTTTTTATTTCCCAATAATTATGTCTTATTGATGAAATATTTGGTTTTTGGTCATTTTTTTATTTTCATAGTAATTTATTCGCTTGATCCTTTTAGTGAATAAGAAACATTGATATTTCTAGTTATATCATTGTCAATTGATATTTACTCACTTCAAACTTCAACGTAGCATCAGCTGGAATCAACGGTAGACTACCATTCTTGCCATAGGCATAATCAGGACCACAGGTCAGCATAGCGATCTCACCCTTCTTCATGGTAGCGACGCCGACGTCCCATCCTTTGATGACACTGTTATTCCCGAGAGTAAAAGTGAACGGCTTATCCCTGTCTCTGCTGGAATCAAACTTCGTGCCATCCTGTAGACTACCGATGTAGTGGACCTTTACTCTGCAACCATTCGTAGGAAGCGAATCTCCTTCTCCTTCCTTGATAATTTCCTTTAACACGCCGCCGTCCTGTGCGGAAGTCAAATCTACCTCGACCATTCTCTGTGAGCGAAAAAGACAAAAGGATTATTAAACCAAAAGGCTTTTTTCACAACGCGACGATAATCGAGCGTCGACGACCTAATCGAGTCTGGCCTGGTCTGGCCGAGTTTGGCGCTGTTGTGTTGGGGATCGTTCTACGTCGAACTTTCTCGAAATGTTAATGCGTGAATATTAATGACGAGAGGAAATGACTCTGCAAAATGCGCACATGTTTACGGATTAATTATGTGTGAAAATATTAAAACCAAGGATACGTACGATTTGCGAAAATAAGGGATGCGTTCAGATATACGCAGTGGAGAATCTCGTTCGAATTAAGCAATCTAGAGCAATCTTCCAACAGTTTCGACACGCGTGCCGGTTGATTCGAAATAATCGTATGGTCGACTGCGACTCGTCACACAACCGTACACCGGCGGAAATCGATTTCATGTGGAATTTACTAGAAAACTTGACGCCGTACGTTCTTCCGACGGTCGATATTCTTCCCGATTCCCATTTCCGGATTTCTTCGCGGCCGTTTGTAAATGAGGCAAAATCCGCAGTAGCGTTGATGATTTCTATATTACCGATTGCGTGTGCCGCTCTAAAAGATTTCTACATTATCAACGCAATGGAAGATTTTCTGCGCATTAACGATTCCCGCTCATTTATTGGCTGCGTTCAGCAGAACGTTTGTTTTGCAACTGTTGGAAGTTTCCTTCGCGTTAATTGGATCATACTTTTAGATCTAGAAGAATGGTCCTATCTCAGCAGACAATCATAAAACGGTTGCAAAACTGTTGAGTCTGCTGAACGCAGCCATTGCTAACTTCATCATGTTTATATTGGGCGTAGCCAGGATTTTGTTTATGGAGGGCTAAATTAGAATTGTGACTTTTAGGGAAGGGCCGTAGTCGAGCAGTATGAATTATCGGACGTGCAATTTTGTTTTATATTATTTTTTTAAATTAATTACTGGCAGATAAATTACAAAATTACACGTATTTAATTTATTAACGCACTTTATTTTTCTCTTAAAGTTGTGAACTGAATCTTCGAATTGGAAAAGCTTAAATTTATAACACTAGCTTTCTCAGATTCTCAGAAAATCTTTCCATAACTTTCATCTCCAATTCTTTCTTTCTTTTCTAAGATTAATTTTTCTTGTGAATACTTATTAAGCGTCCATTTAAGCGGTTTTAATTTTTATCTTTAAAATCGGGGGGAGGGGGAGGCGGCCTCCCAGTCCCACGTTGGCTACGCCAATGCTTATATTTATAAAAGAAAATCGTTAGGTCTGTTCGCGTTGCTTGCACTTTCTGCACTCAGCATCTTCTCTTCCTCTTCAACGCTCGAATGTCTATATAATTTGTCTCATTTTGAGTGCAAGTATTTTTAGTAATTTCAAGCAATGTAAACAGACCTAATGGCTGTATTCAGCAAAAAGAACAGCTTTGCAATTGTAAGATTCTTTAATATCATTGATTTTGCCCTTAAATTCTCATTGAATCTGAGCTGCTTTTTCTGCTGAACACAATCATTTATTAATTTGGCAATATAATGCATTTATTTGTACAGTGACGATATTTAATTTAATATTCTTCTTTGTTATCGACATATTTTATTTCGGCCATTAAAATCTGTGTCGATACGTCAGCAGGAGGAACCGAAATAAAATTCGTTATATGCGTACTGTAAATTATTGATTACATAATTAGTTTTTTTATCGCACTCTCCGAGCCTCGAAAATCGCTGTGATGCGCGTCTCCTGGAAATCTGCGCGATTACGCGCAAAAATCGATTTTGATCGATTTGGAGGTCTATTTCGGTGCTCGTTGGTTCGTTCCCGACAGTTCTCGGAAAATTTCGAGCGATAGCTCATCGTCAGTCCCGTCCATTAATTTGCGAACGAAGACAACGCGTCTTTAATTTGGCGAATTGGCGGAGCTGGACCAATAGGAAATCCTTCGCCGAAGCGTCCCACGTATCCACGAATCGCCGTGAAGCGTTTTCATCCAACGGCTAGCGCGTCGCGTATCAAACGACTACGCACTATGCACCGCACATTGAGTGCGCCATATTTTCGTTCCGCGCGCTTTGTGGCTGCGATTGTGGCGAACGTGTTCTATTGCCGCGTTAAGAACTAAGAATTCGTCGAATAAGTTAAAGTGAGGAACAAGGCAGGATAAGGTTCCATTGAATATAGTGGCCGAGAGGTCGTCGGAGTCGGTCGTTAACAAATCGTGCATCATATTCTGTGTCATATTCACGCTACGTTCGCAATCGGACGAAACAGCTCTAAAAAGGTTATTAATGGCGAAGTGTGGGAGCCCGCCTGAATCCGCTGCGGGAACACGAGCAACGTATTGAGGAGCGTTGTCGAGTTTGTTTCCTGAACCGGAGCTACCGCGAGTCACCGCGACTATCGAAACGATGTCGAGTAAACCCGAGACGCCAAACATGGCCGAGCGTTGCCGAATTTGTCTGGTTGACCAAGGCTGCATGACCAATCTGCAAGACGAACGTTTGGAAGCCAAGCTCAAGGACTTGATCAACTGCACTCGCATTGATGTAAGTCCCCCTTTTTGTACTTCATTGGTTCCTTCTGTCAAATTGCATGTTTGAACGTTTATGCTTGTCTATCACAGATCAAGTATGAAGAAAATCTACCGGGGGTTGTGTGTCATGTATGCTTGTACAAGCTGAACATGTGGAGCGAGTTCAAAGAACAGTTCATACAATCCAACAAATCCCTGGAACAACTAGATATGTTGGAAGAGTCTGATAACACTGTAAGTTGATGGAATATCTCTTTAGATTTGTTCTTTTTCTATCTCAAGTTCTGAACTGGTGTGTACTGATGCAATAAGTTAGGGTGGGACAGCTATAGCATGTTTCATTCTAACATAATGAATTATTTCAGAACTAATTCAGAATTTTTTTAAAAAGGAACAGATATAGCTTCATCGGCTTTTAAGCCTGGTTTATAATATGCTCTTTGCTTCCTGTTTCTTATTTTTTTTTTTAATGATATGTTTTTATTAACAATCTTGTATTTTGTCACATATTTTTGGTCTCTTCCGAACGCAGTTTATCAACTTTTATCTTGGACGATAGAAAATGAGGAAACGGAATAAGAAGTGAAAAGCAAGAGGTAAAAATTGGAAGGCAAGAAACAGGAAGCAGAGTAAATTGTATATTAGGCTTTTGTTGCTTTAAGCGCTTTATATTTTTTATTTTCGTCTTAGATTGAAGATTCTTTGAAGGATAGCAGTTGTACAACAAAAGATGCAGAAAGGAAACGTAGAAACAGCCAGAATAATAGTATTGAGAAGGTATTTTCATATAAATTTGATAATATTGATTTTATATTTTATAACATTTTCTTTATATATATATATATATATATATATTTATACTTAACAAAATTAAAGGATCATCTGTTCTACTTTGCGAAAATAGGCAAATTTTAAAATAGGAGAACTTTGTCAAAAATCATTGTATCAAGATGTTTAAAAAACATTTTACAGCCTGAAATCTATTTTTCAGGTCGATACTTTAGGAAACGGTCTTATTGATATTTTATGGAGTTACACAAACATAAGATGTATCAAATCTCAAAATTTTTTACAAAATTTGCAAAGTTCCACGACGCAAATTGAAAATTGTACACAAATACGGTTTACAACATTCGAAAAAGTGAATCTTTACCTTTAATTTTTTATTGAGTTCTGTATGATTTGTCTCATCGAGTTATTCAACATTGGAGCAAAAAAAATCGTTTTCAATGTTGAATAACTCGGTGAAGAAAAATCGTACAGAAATGATGTATCTTCATTTATATTTGTGTAACTTCATAAAATATCAGTAGATTTGTCGCGTCGCATGCTCCAACAAGTACCAATATGCTCCTACCATATCAATATAGCTCTTACTCCAATGAATTTGATAGAGTGAGTAGGAGCTATGGTAGGAGCACGTTGGAGCATGTTGGAGCTTGCGACGCGAACAAACTAGTGAGTAGTTTTTCTAAAATAGCGATCTGAAAAGTACAGATTTCAAGCTGTAAAATGCTTTTTTAAATAGCTCTTCTATCTTAAGTTCTTCTATCTTAAAATTTGCTTATTTTTACAGGATGGAACAAATAATCCTTTAATTTTGTTGAGTAGTGTATATACAGGTGTTCCTGACCAACGATGTTCCCAATCGCCTCTCGTTAGCAGGTAGAGCGGACTGAATTGAGTTGCAGAGTCCTTTACCATTTTACAATTTTTGTAAAATTTTAGAAGATATTAATTTCTAAAGATCAACTGAATAAGTACGTATCCACGCAAATTACCATAGGTCGTGGTCGCTCTGTTCAATCCGTAGTTCAATCCGCTCTATTTGCTCACGAAAGGTGACTCCGTAGGTCGGTGTATATATACATGTAAAAATGCATGTATATATGTAATGTGTTTTATATATATATATATATATATATATGTAAACAAGTCCTTTCTTAGCAATGTAGCTTACATCGCCAAAAAGGGACTTGATTTACAAAATATAAACTTAATTACACTCGTCCATCCATACCACTATCCTATCGCTACAACACATCTCTTTCTATACAATAAATTCCTATATCTATCTAATGATCTATTCACAAAAGAGAAAGATTTCTTATTCTTACATATCACAGAAATATTACGGAATATAATCACAGCTGCATTCTGCTATCGTTCTATCTTAATTTGCTGCTGTCTAATTACATCAAATTGTGCCAACCTCCTCTGTAGTTCCCTCAGATTCTGCATTCTTTTTTCTAATCTCATTTTCCCTTTCTTCAACTTTCTTAGAAAAAACTCACATTTTTCTGAGTCCAGTTCCTCGCTCCAAAGTACTCCATATTTCCTTTTTATTCCTCCCTAATATCCTGAACCAGCTATTTATTTTCCGACACTATTCCATATAATGTTCCATGCAATCTGCACCTACTCCACAAAATATACATCTAAGGTTTGTTCGCGTCGCAAGCTCCAACATGCTCCTACCATAGCTCCTATTCACTCTATCAAGTGCATTGGAATGAGTAAGAGCTATGGTAGAAGCATATTGGAACATGTTGGAGCATGCGATGCGAACAAATCTCTACTCTCCTCACTTAGCTAGTACTTATTTCCTTTTTCCATATTTCCACACCTAAGTTTCATCAACCCCCTACACCCTCTCCTATTTCTATTTTATTCAAATTTTCCTTCCTTAGATATTTGCGGCTTCTATTTCCTATGTCAAACTTCTTGTATCTGCTTGATAAATATCTTACTCAACCTAAAATTAATTGTTCTATTTCAGAAAAAAACAAGAATAGATACGTCTTCATTGGAAATTGCTTGCGACACAAGCCAAATTATAATAGACACAATATGCATATCGGATAACGAAAGTTCATCTAAGTCGAAAAAGAATGCGCAAAATGACGAAGAGCGTGCAGAAGGTAAAATGTATTCAGGACCAATGAGAGCTAGATTGTTGCCTGCAAGACGTGGCAGAAATATCGAACGGAGGAAGGCGTCTACGAAGCGTTGGGTAGAGAGGAAGAAGGCGCTTTTGGCTGCAATAGGAGAGAATGTGTCCGATACAGATTCCATAGCTTCTGATGAAATGCAATTATCGCCCGTGCAGAAGGCTCGTGCGAAGGATAAGGAAATAGAGAGACAAAAGAAAATAGCCAAGGTGCTGAAAAATCTAGAGACGAGTCTTTCGGAGAAATATGTTCTTCGTGATAAAAACGTAGATTCCGACGCGCGTAGAACGAGAAGTACTTTGCAACACAATAACAAAAGTTTATTGAACCAAAACAATAAAAATAAGAAAAATACTGTCGCGAAAAATAGGTCCTCTATAGACAGCTCGATAGAAAACTCCCCATCTTTGTTAACAAATAATTTTACATTAAATGACGAGAAAAAATTCGAAAAGCAAAATGATGACCAAACTTTTGAACCTAGCTCGTTGAAATCCGAGCTAGTGATCGGTGACACTACGTTCTGTATAACGTCTACGTTGATTCTTGTAGACGCAAACAATGAACAAGCAGAGTGTAATAATTCAATGAAGGATTCTAAAATCTTTAGTCCTGACGAAAACAATCGGGAGAGGAATACTGATATCTTCGATGCGGTTCAATTGCGTAGAGTAAATCCCGTGATAACTACAAGCCAAAACAATAGCAAATCCAACAGTAAGTTCATTGAAAGATGTTTGAATATTGAAGTAGAAGGTAATGAATTATCGGTTTTGAAACGCGTACAATGCGAATTGGCAGATTTTGTCCAAAAGGAAATTAAACACAAGTTATTCAGCACGAACGATGACGACGCGAAAACCAATAAAACTGATAACACTCAAACAGATTCTGCTACTTTCTTCCGGGAAAAACTCGACCAGAAGTTGAAAGATATAATACAAAAAGCTATAAAGAAAAATATCGTGTCATTTGAAGGTAATACGAGCGATGCATACAGTCAGAGTTCCAAGGTTTCATCAGTGTTAGCGAAGTTGCCCAGTTATCAACCGAAGGTTATGGTAAAACGTCTAGATATAGCAAAGGAGAGTAAGCATTATAAAATTAATAACGTTCGTACGTTAAATCTGAGTTCGTCAAGAAGCAAGCTCACCAGTCCATTCATCACTCGTAATAAACGTGCGAGCATAATTCCAATAAGATACGGTGAATATGCCTCATTAGACTCCGATTCCGAAGTATCAAATGAAGAAACCATTGAAGATCCCAACGAATGGTGTCCAACACCTAAAACGACCAACTCAAAAACATCCAAGAATACACCGAGACAGATCATTATTGGCAAATCGATGGAAAAGAAACAAAATGAACAAAAGACTGATTCTGAAAAGATTGTCAAAACAGCGAATACCATAGCTGAGAATCATATATGTGGAGTATGCGGATCAACGTTTCACAGTCGTATGGAGGTCGAGATGCACGTTCGCACTCATAAATTGGCACCGGGTGCCTCCGTCGTGCAGGTTGTGCTACAAAACAATGAAATTGATCTTGTGCCACAACAGATTAAGCCACCACAGATTAAGCAGAAGCTGATGCGCTGCAAGAGATGTCACGAGATAGTCGAGGCACGTTTTGTGAAGACGCACGTATGTAAAATGTTCAAGTGTCATGTCTGCAACTCCATGTTCCGCGCGAAGAATCTTCTCTTGAAGCACTTGGAGAACCACGATACCAAGTTCAAACTAAACGTGATCGAGAACAAAAAGTTGAATAATACTGATACGTTGCAGAAAATTGTAGCGGTTGCATCCGCGTCGCCGCAGAAGGCTCAAGATCAAGCCCAGGGAACTGAAACGATAACGCAAACTGTAAACGAGAAGAATGATATCCAGTCCGATAAAATAACTAGTACAGGTGTAAAGCTGGATAGGACTGAAAATATTTTAACGAAGCCTAAAGAAACGTATACTTGTTTCGTATGTGATAAAATCTTCACAGACGAGGAAATACTGAAGGATCACTTGCAGAAGCATTGCGATGATCTAAGTGAAGGAGAACAAAACAACAGCAAGGAGCAGTATCAATGTGCTATTTGCGGCAGTACTCTGCAGTCAGATCAAGCGTTAGAAGAGCACGTTGGCAAGCATTTGTTTGACGATGAAGACGACAATCCTAATCTGATTAGCATAGATCAAGGCAATGAGAATAATAATAAATCAAACGATTTATATCAATGTGGGCAATGCTCAGAGACATTTGATTCGGAGATATTGTTAGAGATGCATATGCATGCGCATGAGGAGGAAGTCGCGATAGCAGAATGGGAGCAGCAAGGAATGAAGATTTATCAATATCAATGTATGCTTTGCGATGAATTGTTTGATACGGAAAAGGACTTAGCTGAACATTTGGACATACATAATGCAAACGCGCATGTATGTCAATTGTGTGACAAACCGTTCCGCACGTTAGAGGATCTACAAGAACACGTTGCAACTCATTGATGTACTCGACAATGTTTTATATGAAGATATTAATAAAAATTACAAAATATCTTTGATATAATAATGAGCAGAGAGTTGCGTTCGGAAAGTATACTATAAGAGCTATTACGTCATTACATGTCTTTATCATTTGTTAGACATAAAACAAGAATAGAATAACGCATTATTCTGATAGCTCCGCGCTCTCCGAACGTAGCTAATATTGTAATGTTCTGTTACGAATGTATGCTGCCATAGTTGCTGAAATCTATCAGTAACAACATGGATATATAAATTTTCTGTACGAAATGTACAAATTAGCTGTACATTTAACTATATAATTTTGTCAATTTGAAATTTTGCTGATTTACGTGCATAAATGATTTATATACAAATATAATGTAATTTATAAAACAATATCCTGCTTGTACACGTTAAAAAGTTTAAACTTTTGAAACTTTAATTTATAAGAAATAATATTTGGCATATATATATATATATATGTGTGTATGTGTGTGTGTATGTATATGTATATATGTATATATATATACACACGCGCGCGCGCGTGTGTGTGTGTGTCTATACACACATTAGAATAAAAGAGGAGAAAATAAACATATATATGAAGCAAGGTTGGTAAAGACCAATATATATTTTTTTTGTAAGAATAAAACATTGTTTCTTCTTGAATATGTTTTTAGTGCTTCCAATATGCAGTACTATAAAAAAATATATTTAAAACATTAAAAACATCAACTAAACAGGCTTTAAATTGTTTAAAACATGTTTTTTACCAACCCTGATGTGAAGACAACAGCTTTTACATAAGACACTCGTATCACTTTGTTGATACGTAATATATAAACGTATATACAATTATTTTTATGTTTAAAGTCCTTATGAATAATCATATATATTAATGTAAATGTAAATATGACATAAAACATAAGTTGCTAATGTAAATTATGAAATGAGCCCCAGCTGAATAATATAAATGAATTCTAAGTACAGAGATGTATATGCTGGATGGAATTTTTTCATGAATTTACTGGGACTTTCTTCGTTTGCAATGCTAATTTTAAAATGTTCATTTTTTTCTCCCAAGAATTTTTCAAAACACTTCATTTATAAATATCACATTGCTGAAAGAACAGTTTATTTTCAATAAATGTTCATTATTTAAAATGCGTGTATACAATGATAATATGTGTACTTGATATTTTTACTGAAACCTTGTTAAATATAAATAGTAGCGTTAAATATAAGATTCAAGTGCATAATTAAGTATAATGTTACAATAAATTTTATTAAGATATTATATTAATTATATAGGATATTGTGTTTCTTTAATTAGTGCCTATTAGTTATTAGCGATAAATTTGCAAGATAATCCGAGATAAAATTTAAGTATAAATAATTTACAGTTCAAAACATAATCTACAGTCAAAAAAATATGTTAACAAAAGGATTTTTAAGTTTTTCCTGCTACAGCATGTAAAACAATAGTCTATTATTTTTTAATTTTGGCGAGTTGTGTAATGTCAATATATATTTCACGTAGAACTTCGATCTTATTTTCAGTTTAAGTATAGGTAATTGTACTTGTATCTTTTAAGATATTTTTGTTCTCAGTTTCGTCTGTATATTTAAAACAATAATTCATAAATATAATATGATAAATCGATAAAATGTTTTTTATGTAGAAGTCATTTATTAAACATACATAATAAACTTTATACACAAGCTACAATTTATATATACTTAACAACTTTGTGTTTGGAACTGTGAACACACTTTACAAAAGATAATTTGGAGGATTAATTAAATGAATAATTTAAAAAAAAATCAGACTGAATTTATAATTTTTACTATATATTCTATACGATTATTTACATAAATACTGTGTACATAGACACGACGTATTTGCAATGAATACTTTGTTTTTTCAATACCTATATTAATCATAAATCAAGTATCCCTATGACTTTGCAGCTAACGGATTAGATAACTTGGAAGATGTATTTTACGAAAAGAGTTTTCTTGAAAATAAAAACGTTAGCTATATGTTAATTTTTACATGATTCATGCTAACTCTATAATCGCATACATTTAGTTTCAGAAAAACTTATTTCATTCAATACATATGCATGATATTTGGTAGGTATGTATTATATTAATTAAAGTAACGGTTAATGCGAGACATTTTCATCATTTTCGATGTTTACTATAATTAATTCCGAAATATATGAGGATCTTTCTTTCAAATGAAAATAAACAAATAAAATTTTCTTCCAAAAACGATTCTCATACCGGATTTATACAAGTTTATATGTATATGTGTATGTCTATATACGATATACTTTAGATGAAAATATTTTTCTTTTATAGCATATTGATAATTGATATTTATTTCATCAAATTATTATCTCGACTATAAGATTTAATCAATAAATAAAACAATTATTAATTTGTAGGTCCCGAATTTCTTTTATATGAAATTTATGCTCATTCAAAGTTATGTACTGTTTTTTTACGTTCATCTCAAATATATTGTAACACTTCAAATTCATTAAATGACAATTAATAGTTTAACGTATTGCTAGGCTCTTACATCTATTATGTACAATGACACCATTTATATAGACATTAGTTTTTAATAGTACTTCTTTAATAACAATAAATTAAATAGAACTCTCATCGCACATTTCAATCGAAAGATTCTTTTTGTTACAACAATGAATCATAAAACGTACAATATTCCAATATTCTAAACTTGCTATACACGTGACATGCGCGTGTAATCCATATTTATCTATAGAGTCTAACTAATGAAGGATTTTTACTAACCTAGCTATCTAAAAACAAATTTCATTCTGAGTGAGGGGATATATCTTCATGTGGTAAACCGTTCCATTTTAATCCCGCTAGCCGCGAAGGAAAGATCTTGAAATGGAATCGCCACTCGCCATTTATACAATTTGTAAATGCTGACAATCAGTTTGCGTTTCATCTAGAGGTATCGAATTCAGAGACTTCTGTAACTCATTTCTTCATTCAATTCATTCATCATAAGCCACATAATTCTACAGGGCGCCGCGAAACTGACGTCCCGCGAAATTTCTACTCGCGCAAACAATAGCGAAGAGAAATGAAACGCAATCTTATTCTTCGCGGAGATTACATATTTAAGTAACTAACTTGTGGATTTGGCTTTGCATTAGTTAATCTATTGCGACACCAAGCCTACATAATTCGCCGGATAAAGGCCTACTCTGCCATCCTTCCTTCCTTTACACCACCCCTGCTCATCTTCATCTTCCAGTTTCTCGAATACGTCTCCTGAAAAAAAAATTCAGTGGAATTCAAATTAATATTATTCGATTGTCGCTCAAGTTATATTAAGGATGTATCATACGTATTTTTTTTTTAAACAAATGAAAGAATGACGGATTTTTCTACATATTATATTTTTTAAAGTAATACAAAAGTTTAACGACAATTTAAAACCTGGATAAAAAATTATCTCAATAAAAGACAGACATATTTAAAAAAAAATAATTAAGATAAAATAAGAATTTTCATTTAAACAATAAATTTGCATGTTAAATATAAATATTAATCTTATTGAACTGTTTCATACATATACATATATATACGAGGGGGGACCCAAAAAAAACGGGAATTTCGTCATAACTTCTTTATTTCTCAATATTTTAACACCAAATTTTGATCACCTTCAAAGTATTCGCCATTGACCACAACGCACTTCTCCAAACGATTCTTCCATTGTTCAAAACAGTTTTTAAATTCACTCATCGGGATGTCCTTTAAGCCTTCCAGCGATTTTTGTTTCACCTCCTCCACAGTGGCAGATTCGATTGCAGAGGTGTTGTGCACGCGGAGTTCGTTCCCCCGGGTCAAACTGCCAACCAGAAGCTCTACTTGGAGGTTTTTGTTCCCCAGACTCAAAAGGAATATGAAAGGAAAGCGTTTTGCCACTGTGGAGGAGGTGAAACAAAAATCGCTGGAAGGCTTAAAGGACATCCCGATGAGTGAATTTAAAAACTGTTTTGAACAATGGAAGAATCGTTTGGAGAAGTGCGTTGTGGTCAATGGCGAATACTTTGAAGGTGATCAAAATTTGGTGTTAAAATATTGAGAAATAAAGAAGTTATGACGAAATTCCCGTTTTTTTTGGGTCCCCCCTCGTATATATATATAAAACATTCATTTTTACACGGAAAATATCAATTTTCAATTTCAATTACTTTTTGCAGAGACTATACACCTCATACAGACTTAATTATATGAACGAGTTCGAATTATATCGTCGAATTATATCACTCCTTTATTAAACGTAACAAGTAATTTAGTCGAGCCGCTCAAGGATTGAGCGTCTGAAATTTTGCAAAGGACCACGCCTTTTCTGATTTGATACCTTGTTTGAAACTGAGCTCGTCCGCTTCAGCACCTTCGTAATCGTACAAAGCACGTACGGGAACACCAGGTTCTCCATTGTCGACCAGTGGTTCACCTCCGTCCTCGTCCCATTCCTCCTCTTCAAATGGGTTCGATTCTTGCTTGGCGTTGGTACCATTACTGTAATCATCAAGTATTAATAAAATTATATCAATACAAATATCAATTTATTTTTTGCGAGAATCTTACAACTTACGTAATAGTCGTAGTCCTGTTGACGCTGTCGGTCTCATTCTTCTCTGAAGATTGCTTGCTGGAACTTATGGTATCCGTTTTGCTATCTCCGTGATTGCTGTCCGCTGATATCACCCGTGCGGCAGGCTTCGATTTTGATTTGTTATTGACTGGTGGATATTCCTGTTTGAACGGGAGGGAAGAAGCATCTTAGATACGTTTCGATGAAATCTGCGTAAGTGCGTACCGCGATACCGGATGCACGAATTTCTCGATGAAAACGCCATGCGTGCAACCAAGTATATAATGATACGAGTCGTTCGCTGCGAATATTTTGCGCTTCAAATGAGCATGCCGACGATGCATGTGCGATTGAAGCTATCACTATCTCGCTGCATCTATCTTCTCAATAATCTTGCATGCCTCAAGAAGATTTATTTTCTTGAGGCTTACTTCGACCACGATAAGACTCGATAAAATAAAGTCTATGTATTTTTTTTATGGAGAAGATAGCATCCGGATTCCCATTGTGATAAATGTACCAATTTGAAAAAATGCGTATTTACAAAGCAATTAGATTCGAGATTACGCTTCTTTAAATAGACAATCGTGACAATGGATGATACCTCTCGACAGATTAATTAATGAATAGTTAAAATAATGCCATTTTAATTCTATATCACCGATCATTGTTATTGCGTTATTAACGAGACATATTTTAAACAAGATGTTCTTGTGCAAGAATAATAATTCAGCTGTCGACTATGTACAAATAGTTTTATGCTGTACCATGCAAGAAATTAACATACAGAATCGCCCGCAACCGTCATGTTTCCTTCGAAACTTGTTTTTCTTTCGTAACAATTCGCGTTCAATGTCTATATAAATATTTAATTACCATTAAATAGTCACCTCGACTACTACACGTTAAAAGTCTATTGTAAAATACAGTTTACAAATACTCAAAATTAAGAAGTTTTTAACTGGAATAAATTACGACAGTTTTGGTGCACACTCTGTTGTTATTTTTCCAGTCACAAAATTAACTCTGTATTAGTTCCGTCATTTGGTTTTCCATGTGACTGTCATTGTAATTTTTAAACAACATTTTTGAACATGCAGATGTTGCAAGTGATTTTTAACAATTGGTTGCAGGCATATGTGACTTAAGCTAAATTTAACGATTTATACACGTATATCTCTTAATAATATTATAATTATCCATACCATATACCATGAGCAGGGTAATAAGCATCTTGTAAGAAACCGATTTACAAACTTTCGAGGCTCAGAACTTTTCTAAGCTTGGCTAGCTAAGAACAATTTGTAAGACGCAACTATTTTCGTTAGATATCGATATTATTTTATCTCTGTACGATTTTTCTTCCATCTTATGACAATATTATGAACTCATTCGAAAGAGGTATGTCAGAAAAAAGAAATCAAGAATATAATCTTTCTCCGATTTGATTTTTTATTCTTTACTCTCTCGGATGTCTCTCAGACCTTTGCCGCGCTACCTCTTCAGTTTGTAAATTCATTTCTGCTGTACCTGCCACAGGAGGCTGTCCGTGTTCACCTTTAGGCACAGATTCGTGCGATTACGTGCGAGCACAAGAGCGGAGCGGATTACGGTTAATTCGGTTAAGAGCTAGAAGCTGAGAAAGGAAACCCATCCTGGATGACCTCGCGGCCAGCTGGGACATCCGTTAAAAGCTGTCGCGTGCCAGCCTAACCGGTGCCGGCGATCTTTCTCTTTCTTCCCTTGACCAATTCGATCGAGACGAACCGGCTCGTCGGCATAGGTATATAAGTAAGGCGGGTGGGTCTTGGATGCGCGCGAATTGTGTGGAAAACAGTTAAAGTGAGATTGGCGCGTCTTGTGTGTAACGTGTAAACAAAACTTTACATGCAGATCCTCGCCGACCGGGCGTTGATTGATGAGAGTGATGGAGCCTGCCGGGAGCGCCTCCTTCGACTTCGAGCCCTTCGTGATCTCGCGGAACTCCTCTGTGTATTCCTGCATAATAGCAACGTCCCAAAACAATCACATGCATGCACTCTCTCTCTTTCTCTCTTTCTCTTTTCTTCTTGTTTTATACTTCCTTCTCAAATATTAAGAGTACGATATCATGATGTGGAAGCTCTTTCGATATTATTTAAATATTATAAGTACTTTTGAATTGAAAGAAAGGACCAGGCGAGAGAGGCGACGGTGGGGCTGGGTGTTACTCTCGCAACGAATTTAACCCTTGATAGACTATACATTTCACGAAGGATATAACATCATTTGGATGAGCGACGATAGTACGATTGCGATAACAAATAATACAGTTTTTGCGCAAGGTTTTCCATATAAATTAGTTAAAGGAGAACTTTTCATAAAGGGGATCGGCAACGCTTGCAACCCGTAATCAGTATAAAAAAAACAATCAATGAACTCATGTTATGTACAGCGATCGTGCGAATTTTAATGCTGTTTTTTCAGAAAAGTAAAAAATTGGAAAATATCGCGCTTCCAAACGATATATAGGCACGTTCGAGAGATTACGGGTTAAGAAGCTTTGAAAACTGAAAAAGGCAAAATATTGTTGTTAAGCAGGGTATTTTTTCAGAGGCGAATGTACAGAAGAAAGCGTAATTCTTATTTTAATATAACAACTACGGAAAAGATTGATGACAACAACGACGAATGGGAGGGTTAAAAACGCTGATGAAGAGTATTCCCGATTTTTCAGAGCTCCTTATTTTAACGTAACAAAAAATAATATATAATAATTATCGTTTATTCTTGTAAAAATCAATATTACTTAATTTTGGACGTAATTTATTTTTCAATGAAGATTTATCTCTTATCCTTTTAATATTTTTGAGAAATCAGAACATTCAGAACGAATATCATTATGTTCCCCGTCAAATCGAGTACTGGGAACAAAAAAAGTGTGCAAAGGCGCACAAAACATCCAACAAGTAATGATAAAATTATTGTAAAAGAGGGGGAGGACAGCTATATAGAAAGTAATATTCAGTCCACGCTACAGCTAGTTGTTGTCTAATAACAGATTTTCAACCACGAGCAGGGCTTTTACATGCGACAATAGAGCTTTTGTAGAGCTGTTTTTAGCGACAAGCGTAAGCGACTTACTTCGAACTGCGGCCAATTCATAGCCATATTGACGCCGTGGTTATTGGACCACCACTTGAGGTCTTTCTCGTGATCGGCGTTATTTATCGTGTGATAGAATTCTTCGTATATCTGTGGAAGCCTGAAAACAGTAATATACAATCTATAGTAACAGTTAATGATGATATGTGGAAATTTTATATTCATCAAACGTGAAATAGGAAGAGATGTGACTTCAATTTCAGTTTTATTTGAATTGTCTGGCAAAAAATTGTCGAGGCAAAATCAAGAGAATTAATTGAGCGATGAAATGAAAGTCTCTAATCAATGTTGATTATGATAGACGATCATGTCGCATTCATGAGCAGAGAGAAGCGTATCGATTTTTGTAGAGAACATACATCTTCTGAATTTGCGATTACGTAACATTGCACAATACGGTTGCGCAGTACTGGGAAGGAACTTACACTGGATCTTGCGATATGTTCAGACATTTGTGAATACCGAAGAGGACATCTTTGAAGAACTGTAATCGCTGCGCTTCCATCTCCTGGCACTTCTCAAACACTTGCGTCATATCTTCCATGTACTTTGGATTGTATTGATTGATTTCTTGAAGCGATGCTTCGTACTTCTCCTTCGCCTTTTGCACCTCCTCCTTCGTTTTTTGCACTCGGTCCTGCATTTTCTTCACCTGTCAAAAAAGACGAGAAAATACTTAGAAACCTTACAGGGAGCGTTCCTCTTTAGCACCGAGTTGAAGGTAAAGGTCGGCGTTGATGAGATGTAGTCTAAGAGTTTTAGATCTTTGAAGAAAGAATACTTCATATGTGTGCAATTCTCTAAATGTTACATACTTATGTTGATTAAAGCAATAACTTAATAGGCCCAATTCTTTATCTTCAATCTCGTCTAGCTCATCGCCAAAAAGCCAAAAATGCTTTTTAGCGATGTTCAGCCGTGGATGCCACATTGAGAAAGGAGACAAGAAATATATATGACAATTTCCGTACGTCAAAATGTGCGAAGAAGTATATAATCTGGCTACTCTTGCTACAACAAACTACATATTAATTAATTTACATATATATACGTTTATTTCGCCATGCAACTACAGGTACATAATATACAAAATAATGGCCATTCTATCGCACGATTTAGCTTGCATCTCCAAAATTTTAGTATTTTCAAATTGAAATTAGAATTTATTGTTTTAATCTTTTTGAATTAAAACTAGAATCTATTGATATCTAATATAAAAAGGATAATATAAAAAGATTCGTTTTATTAAAGTGCAATATAAAAATTTTATAAATGAGCATTCGACGCGAAATTTAACAAAATTTTATCCTCGGATCTTTATGGGAAATTTTGCAATGGAACTTACGCGAATTTCATGGAACTTAAAATGATCCAGTAACACCGTAATCTCGCTGCTTTACATAATTCCATAATTACAGCGTTCACTTTCCGACCGCATCGCGGTGAAGACAAGGTTGAGGTCGTTCGAGTGAAATTTATGTCATTATTCGATTTTACAAGAAAGAAAAATGTCGAACGTGTGCTGCTCGAGCATTGTGTGCGAGTCGCGAGCGAGTGCTCTTAGAATTTAGCGCAAGGAGATTTACGTAGACCAGCTCATGAATTATCCATATTCCACGCACGTGCGCCGCATTTCTTCGTCTTCGTGCCGACTCTGGCGTTTACTAAATTACGGTAATACACGTCCAACTGTGGGTTCTTATAATTGCGAATAAGGGTTAATCAATCAAGCGACGGTACAGAAATTATACCCGTTGTCAGTCATTCTCTACGTAGCAACCCTTTAAATATACAGGCATTCCGAATAATTATTAAGTAGCAATCCGATATAAATAAGCCAGGCATGCTGCATCTAGAGATGGATCGAGATCAGGAGTTGACAAGATATAGATACACAGAGATCGTAAAAGAATATTTGAATAAGTCTACGTTTATTCCGATTTCGATCCATTCGACTAATCTACTCGAGCAAGATACTTCTTGTGCGAAAAGGCATTAAATTTTGCTTACCAGCAGAGCCTTCTGTAATAAGGAAAAAAGAAGACATAAATTTTTTAAACATGCTACATGCAATATCATATACATACAAACTGAACGTCGCCTATTTTATTATTCCTAAGGTTTTTTGGTATTCTGAGGCTCCATGCACCACATCCACAATCTGTCATCTAAAAACGTCGTTAGCCGTCTTTCAGAGATGTCTGTCTTCGCATATCGGGATCGTTGTTGTGCCGATTATTGAGTCGTGTGCTCGCAAATTCTGCCAATGATCCCGATTAACACTCTCGGAAACACCGAGAAACACGATTTTTTTTTTTAATTAAAAAATTTCCTTCATTTTGTAGATTTGTATTACAATTTCTCCTCCGTGACTTTAACGGCAATTAGAACAATATAGCGAATATAGCGAAACTCAGATGGAAAGCTGCAATACAGTTTTTTCTTTCGCGTTACAGACTCGCGTCCCGTCACTCTTGGGTATCATTCGTATAATTACTACCGTACAAGAAGCGGAATGAACGTACGTGTGTATCGTTCGGTTTGTACTGCGATCGTTACAAAGTATCCTTTCCGTTCCGAATAAGAGAGACGTTGGGCAAGAAACACACAGACGTGCAAGAGGAACTCCGCGTCCAGAAGCGAACGAGAGTCGCGTATCGTTAGCTTACCGCGAAACGTCAAGCAAGAAAAGAGTAGCGGCGCATGCAAGAATTCTTAAGAATAAGGTGTAACGTACGTTTTCAGAGCCTCGGGCCATCTGTAAATAATACTTGCTAGAGAACAACTGTATCTACCGTATATAGAGCCGCATTTGAGATCGAGATGCGCGACTAAATGTTTATACAATATAAGGTATGTTAATAATATATGTTGCGCTCGTTTACAATCCAGTTGTCTCGTCGACTCGAAAAGAATATCAATAATAACGCGAAGGGATATTGTGAAATCAAGTCACTTAACTTGCAAATTTTAATCGCATATTCTACATAGCGATGTTAATCAAAATAATTAATTTATAACGTGCGTGTTCGCTAGTTATCAGTTATGGAATAGAACACTAATTTAATTTGTCATCAGTTGCAATATTTTACATGGAAATAAACGATTTTGATGAAGTACAAATTTAGCTAAATACAGATTTGAAAATAATTTTGTTGAACTATCGAAATAATTATATGAACTAAGCTAATTACTAGACTTTCAAAACTTTTAGTGATATTGTTCATCATGCTTGAATTTTCTACATAATTATTTAAATAGTTCTACCAAATTATTTTCAAATCTATATCTATAGATCTAAATTTTTAGATATTTCAACAAAATTCATGTACGCATTACGTATGTTCTATTTATATTTTTATCTGAACTCCAACGTAGTTATAAATAATATATAAAAATATTTAACAATAAATAAATCTAGAAATTTTTCGTGTTCTGTATCATAAGAATGTTATTACATTATTGTAAGTACATTATTTCGTTAGAGAGAAATCCATGCGATTTGCGCGATTGTATCCACGACGCGGCTCAATTACAATCCGCTAGTCTTTTTCAAAGTGAACGTAATGACGAAGTGATTTCTATAGTAATATGTGATATGTTGCGCAGATCAGTTAATAGTATGTTATAAGTGACAAGTGATGTAACGTGTCCGGTAGGATACAATGGAAATGTAACGACATTCACCTGATCTGGCGAGAGAGAACTGTCCGCCGAGGCGTTCCTTTCCATGTTTGCCGCGGTCCGCTCGGTTTTACAGCTGTTGTGATACTCTGCTTTCGTCTTCTCAACCTTCTGCAAAAGTTTCGCCCATGGCTTCTGCGCCTTCTTAAACGAGTCTTCCATTTCCTTGCGCTCCTTCAGGGTCATCATCGACTGCAATCACGGAACCAAACCCGTGCGACATCAGCTACTATCACAGAAACTCATTTAGAGTAAATCATTAGCTGACAAACATTAGAAAACTACTTTAATAAGTATCTAACAATCGATAACTCAAAATAAACAAGTATTGATATTTTCGGTCATTGAATGAGATCTTATGCCTAATAATTTCTATAAATTTTAAACATTTCACCACTTTGTGCAACCACGTGCCGATTACTATTCGGTCTTGAAAGATAGTGTTATGCCAAAGCTGAAAATGTAATGTCATATTATTAAATTCATAATCAAATTAATATGTAACTGATGCCTGTTCAGCTTATAAATCTAGAAGGAATTTATAGAAAATTAGAAAATTAAATTTCATATTTTCAAATTAGTGGAAAATAAATTAGGATCATTCGAAACTTATTGCGCTGTTTATTATTTTCTCATTCGAAAATATGTCGAGAGAAATGGAAACGGTCTAGCGATCTTGTCGTCCATCCTTTCACGAGAAAAATTTAGAAAAGACTATGCCTAGTTTGGGTTCCGGCTGAACAGCGTTGAGACCTAGCTAGGATTGTAGAGCATCAAAAAAGGATTAAAAAGTTCCACATGTACAACTTTGTAAAATGAGTCCCTTGAGTGCTACAGCATTCATCAAAGTTCGCTATTATGACCATGTATTGTGTACCATGTAAGACTGGTTTTATTCGATTTCTCGAATCATCTAGTATCTGGAATATGTCCAATCTTGACGAAGACAACTAAAACCTTTTTTGGATCCCAAATGAATAGTTATAAGTGATATATATTAATCGATGAAGAGGGGAGAGAGACACTCAAAGTACGAAACAAAAGGTTTTAATTGCCTAATTGAAATATGGCCAATATATGTTCTAGGAGCACTCAGGAAACCTCTCCTATAAAGTTAGGCTTATGGAATTTTTTATTCTCTTTTGATAAAATTAAAAGACATGCTTAAAATTTTAAGCATGTTTCAAAGCATTGTTCATCCGGGACCCAAATTCCCCTATAAAACTGGGCATAGTCCTTTCATGACATAACTTCGGAATCCAAATTTAAAGAATTCATCGATCTCAACGTATAATACCACCCTTTTACCTTGTGATACGTATCCTTCTGCCACGTTTTGACTTGTTGAACGATGTCGTTACAGAGGTTCTCTTTAACCCTGAGGTGAAGATCGCAGAGCCTATCGGATTCCACCAGGACGCCCTTCCACGCCGCCTCGGTTGTACCGTACTCAGGTCCCTTCTCAATCTTATCATTCCAATTCTTCGACCAGTTTTTGAGCGCCTTGGCATAGTTCTTCTCGATCTCCGCCCTTTCCTGAACCAGAGCTATCAAACTGTCGCAGAGCTTGTGGCCGTCTTCGATCCTCCTCGTTGTCCGCTTGTAGTTACCCGGCTCCCAGAAGGAGTCTGACGTCGCTATCAGCATGTTGTCGTCGCTGTGATGTGACATCTTAGCCTAAGTCGAGAAATCCCCTTCACCTGGAAATAAAAGTGGAACGGAAGATTAGAAAGATAGCAAAGTTATTCAATAAGTGGAGAAAAGAAATTTTATAATGCGTCACACAAAATTTTATGATACAGCATAAGTGGTATTTAATTTAGGCTCCTTTATATTATCGTGTACTAATAGCTCTTGAGTTTACATATGCGAGGTAAAAAAATCTCTCGTAAATTATGGTCATTACTGTTTCTATATGGAACTGTCGTAAGATAAACACTATTATATAGGATTCATTTAATGAAGAATACAATAGATACTTAATAAGAGAAAGACAAAGTCTCTTTTCTCTTTAAAGAGAAAAGTTATTCAAAGATGAATACATTATTAAAAAAACAATAAAAAAAAGAATTCAATTAATAGAATACGAAATTATGTTATTACTAGTTGTGCGAAGTATCATCTAATATTTGAGCATCTATTCATGTTATTCGGTTTGTAAGAAATATTTATTTAATGATATTTCTCATAAGATCAGAGAAACGTATGAAAACACTACAAATGTATTCATGCAGAATTAAATTAATTAAAAAACTTTAATTTACAATTAATCGGTTTCTACACAGCAATTAAATAATAGTATATTACCAGAATATATATTTTTAGAACATAGATTTTTTTTGCTGATCCAAGATATTTTAAGATAAATTTATGGAAGTCTTCACGATTCCTTATTCTACATATTTTTGTTAAATATAGCGCCATCTTTCTGTTTTATATTCTGAAAAGTTGTAAATTCCTTAGATTATAAGCGAGGAATTCACGAGCTGCAAACGGACGTGTGTAACCATCCCTATGTAGGAATGTTGAATATTTGCTAGAGCAAGCGTGGTAGTTATTGGATTACGCATCGATTTGGATCATCGATTGGCCCAATTTGCGAAGCCATCACAAATCTGCTTCGACGACATTCGTATGCGCTGACACGTCGTGATATGTTTACGTATTTTGTGGATTTTTCGTTCTGTGTATAATGTAGGAATAACACTAAGGCCAGGGTTGGCAAACGTTTCTTTTCAGTTAATTTATCGTTACTTTTTATAGTAAACAATTTGATGACGATGTTGCAATTTTTTATGACGGTAACGCTAACTAACTAAACGCTGAGGTTGTATCTCTCTAAATCTGAATCAGTTGATAATCACTGATATCAGTGCCAAGTATGCTACTGGTAATCAGTGAATGAGATCCCTAACCTAGCTGATCTTTATTATGTAATCTAACCAACCTTGTTTTAATGCGCAAATTCAATGAATATGGTATTGAAAGATTGAAATTAACATGCAGATATCAGTATTTTAGTTATATAATGTGTGCTCAAACATTCTTCTTTTTTTAATTGAACTTTACTGATTATCAGTGCCAAGTATGCCACTGGGTAATTAGTGACTATCCACTGATTCAGATTTAGAAAGTACTAAGATTAGAAAAGTCACTTTGAAAAGTAACTTGTCACTATTACGCGTTACACTGAAAAAATTATAAGTATAACGAGTAACGCGTAACGTTACTAAAAAGTAATGCGTTACAAATTAGGAATTATTCTTTTCTTAAAGTAACGAATGACTTTTTCAATCCATTACAAGTAACGATTGACTTTTTTAACTTTGATGTTAGCATTACCATCATAAAAAATTCACAATGTCATTATCAAATCATTATTATAACAAGGTAACGATCAACAAAGTAACGGCGTTACAAGTAACGCGTTACTTACCAACCCTGACTAAGGCATTGGTTTCGCGCAAGCAAAGTTTTATAAATTTTGTTAAAGTGATTGACAAATTCATCCGTATATGATTTTTCATTTTCATCTAAAATAATCCAATCAAATTATGTACGAATTATGTCGATGCAGAGATGAGGTGTTTCATTGCTGTTTTTTTTTATTTCTCGAAAAAAACGAGGAACTCATTGAATAAAACTGTCATTAAGAGGAAACTCTCTTGGAATCACTCTGAGTCTCTAGCGAAGCGTGATTTTATTGCAAGGCGGCAAGCCAAGAGAATGAAAACTAGCGTCTGTGCGATGCTGCGCGTGCGGTGATTCTCGATTGGGTCAAGCGGACTAACAATTAGGTGCAACGGCTCGACGAGGCTCGTTCGTATGCAAATGCAGTGCATCTAGCATGCATTCGCCGACTCTAGTCATCAACGGTTACGGAATTGCTTGATGGAATTTTACGGCTAACAACATCAGCGTTGCTTGTTGTGTTCTAACAGCGTGAATTATAAAGTATAAAAACAGTTTCATTTCAGAGAAGAAAAGAAAAAAGCTATTCCAGATGCCTAATAAACGCATAAGAGAAAAATTTTTTAATTGTAAAAAAAAATTTAGACTTTTAAATATCAGAATATAAATTCTTGTTGTTATCGAGTATATACAACTATCAAAAGTTTTGTAATCGAGTATTAAAATCTACAAGCGTGTGTTAAACTGCTCTTCATTAGAAAAATATACGAACAATGCGACGTATGGGATCGCGAAGAAATGAATCGAAAAGGAAGCAAGTGGCTGCGTTTAATAACGAGACAATAGTCGTTCGTGAATATATGGGAGTGTTCGTGGACCGTGCGTCGAGAAACGTCCTTGCTGAAAACCGAAGTCTCCGGTGAAAGTCGACGAGAATGAGATCTAGGGACGCGAGATCCGTCGTTCTGTAGATTGTGAGATATCTCATTGTGGAGAGAAAAAAAATTGAAGTTCCGTTGTTTCCTCGGTTCTTGAGCTCGTCTTCCCGTGCTGCAAGTCGACAAGAGTGCGAGGTAAATGAAAAAGCATCGATATCGTTGCATAAATCATTCAAGAAGAGTTAAATGTATAATTACTATCTGAATTGAAAGATCAAAGATATTGATTCCACGATGAAAGTTAATTATATAATTATGATAAAAAGAAAGAGAGATGTAGACAGATTTTATCACATTTTTTAACTAGTAATCAAATTCATATTTATAACAAATACTGAAATTAAGAAGAGTTAATGTAATGAAATTACTATCTGAATTGAAAGATCAAAATATTGATTTCATGACGAAAGCGAATAATTATGAGAAAGAGAAATGCGGACAAACTTTATCACATTCTTTAACGAGTAATCGTATTCATATTTAATGACGAATATTGAAATTTATATCCGTTAAAAATCTAGATCTAAATCTCATTTATTGTAATTCTTAGCTACCTCTACAGCTAGTTGCATGCCTAAATGATTAAAATTATTAGGTATTATGTATAATAAACCATCGTTTCCTGAAAATTATCGTGCAGTGCTTCGATTTATTGGATGCTCGCATAGAAATTTGCAGAGTTATTTACACACTGCGGCAAGAGATATCGACGAAGGTTTAGCGGTTCTCCAGACTAATTTGCATAGGTTTTAATGCAAATGCTTATGGGAATGATATATTCTTGAACAGTTCTGTAATATGCATATAGAATCATACGTTTACGTATCTTAGATGAATGCATTTGTACCGTGCAACTGTGCACTTTCTCTCAACGAGTATCATAGTGAAATAGAAGACCGTATGATCTTCAAAGAATCATAACCAACATTTATGCCCGTTCCTACCGACGTAGATTAATTGTAATCTTGGTTTAACTTACTTTTTAACTTTTCTTAATTCTAAGAATTAGAAAAGGATAACGAATAAATTAAACCGAGATTAAAGTTAATCTACATTGGTAGAAATGGACATTAGACATTAAAAGACAACAATTTGTATTGTAAAAGATTATGTCTGTATTTCTTGAGATTCAGATCTTTTTAATTTTTTCTACATTTATTAGCATAATTACGTGATATTTTATTAGTATTATACATGGTAATTGTTGTTATTATTAATATTACACTGTTAAATCTGTAGTGTCAAATTTAACCTAACGTGAATCGCCATTGCTCCTACTAAATATATCATTTATTACCAAAACGATAATTAAATTTGACTCTATATCGTGTCAATTTAACACTATATAGTATCAAATTGACACTGTATAGTGTCAAATATAATCATTGTTTTAGCATAAGATAATGATATGATTGAGTAGGAGCAGTGGTGACTCACGTTAAATTAAATTTGACACTATAGATTTAACAGTGTATACGTGGTGGTTTATTAGTACTTTAGTGCATGGCATTTTATTGATATGTTGATCAATAGCCATATTGGTGCGTGGCATTTTATTGATATATTGATGAATAGCAAAGTCAAAATAATTTGGAAGCTATAAAGATTAGACTATGTCGATGTCTGTAGGGAGGAAGAGGAAGAAATCACAAAGGTGACGAAGGAGAATAAGGAGGCGTGGGCCGAGGAATGCCACCAGACCAGCCCAGGGAATGACCGATCAGCTTGGTAGGTCGAGGAGAAGGTCATATCAAGGTTCCGAGTTGAAATTCAATTTTCGGCGCCATGGACAGGTGAAATAAGGAATTGTAGCTTTCCATCTCGCGTGTATGAAACACGCTGCACGTTTCTTCGGTGGTCGAGCCCTTTCCTTCGCTTCGAACTCGATCGGAATGGGCACGGTCGCTCTGGATCGTGGAATGTTGCTCCGCTGGCCGGATCGCTCGCGATCTCGAAGGCGCTGTTGAGCGTGAACGATTAATCGATTACGCTCTTCTTCGTGCAAAACCGCAGGATTTGTCGGCGGATTGTGCGAGACGGACGAGGAGGTTATATCGTGTACTTGCATAAGATACGATCGACGCGAGCCATGATTTACGTAATGAGTTTTTTAATCACAGCTGAAATGTCTAACGATATACTAAATAATTGGACATTGGACTTAACGAGACTAGACTTCGTAAGCACATAGTGTAATTTATCATCGATGAAGAAACATAGCAGTGCAAGTATGCGTCTACAGATTATAGCTTATATAGATTATAGATTAGAGCCTACATATTAGATTTTATGTTATTTGTATTTTATACGTGTATAAATATTATTAAATATATATTAAAATCTTAAATTTA